TCCCTCCCATAACTATAAATCAATGTCTACCTCAAGAGCTTATCCCCACTTCCTCAACACACAGGGAACTTTTCGCAATCTATCAAACTTTTCTTTTCTTAGAAAGCAACCAACTGCAACTGCCAAAATCTACCTGTATTAGACTACTCCCTGATAGTCAATCTGCTATCGCTCTTCTCACCAGCCTAAGATCAACAGACCCTCTCTTCAATCCCTGACTCCGTCAAATCACTTCAATCCTTCTAAAGTACGACACCCTACTCACACCAATCTGGATTCCCCGTTCATTAAATTCCACCGCCGATACCTTATCAAAGATCCAGGATAAAACTGACTAGGGTTTAACCAATCACGTAAAACATAGCATATTCTCAGCAATTGGTGCACCAGCCATAAACCTTTTTGCTTCAGACTACCATGACGCAACGCATCTCTTCATCTCCAGAATTTGGACTTCTAAATCATATCTTATTGACGCGCTTACCATCTATTGGAACGACCTTCCTCTACAACCATACAGATGGCTCTTTCCCCCTACTTCACTTCTTCACAAAACCATCTCTCACTCAATTTCCTCCCCTGCTACCTACCTTCTAATATTTCCAGACTCCTCCAAAGCAAATTGGTTGCCTCGTATACTTTCTCTAAATATAATCAGAAGATTCATTATACCCAAATCAGAATATTCATGTATTCCAAGTCCCAGGGTCCATTTCTCCTGCCCTAATCCCGCAGCAATAGGCCTATCCGCTATTTTATTATCAACATAATCTTCAACATTCACATTTCTCACCACCACCAACTTCACCTCTCTCTTCTACTCCACGCTTCCATCCGTGTCGTATCCCATATCCATACCTCATAAATGTAGACATATTGCGCCACGTCTCTTGCCTCATCATTTCTCCAAGACTCCACCCCTCCTCTATCCCTGCGCGCAAACCTCCAATCCGAAAACTATGTCCACTCTCTCCATCATATACTCTCGCCTTTCCAAACCACTTTTCTATTCGTTTATTAAAAGCACCCCCGCTCAAGGCGTTTTCCCCTCTTCCGGTTCTAAATAAAAAACCTTTTCTAATATCCACACCCACATTCTCGTACGACAGAATTAACTCTGATAAAATACCCAGGAAAGTCTCTTCTTCTTTTCTAGGCTCCCTTAACCTAATAAAAAACCTTCCACCATGCTTATCTGTCTTCGTATAATCAGGTCGAACCTCACGTTTCGCGATATCTATCTCTTTGTATTGCAACCTTAATCCCTCTCCGCATCGCTGCCAACTCTCCCACAAGTACAGAAACATCGCAGCATCCCGGTACGCTTCTGCTTCCCGCATCCTCTTAAGAACTTTAACCTTGTTTCGAATATAAGCAAGAACCATAGTCAATTTTTCCCAATTCAAAGCACGTGCAGATTCTTCAATCACACCCCTGCTCAAAGCATACTCTCGGTACGCCTTCCTAAACGCCTTTACTCGACTACTCTGACAAGGATCAGCTCCCTCCTCCCGGCCTAACAGACGGAAACTCCCACTCAAACAATTTATTACCGCATCCACAGTTGAGGGTGAAACCATTGGTTCTCCTTCTCCATCTGTCGTCCGGCATCGACTTTCTATCTCCACTAACCATCGACTACTCAAGAACGCCAGAATATCCAAATCATTGCAGGTCATACAACTTCTTCCAACTTCATTCCTTTCAAGCCATTCGTTTAATCCCAGAAGAAGCTTTCTCATCCCATTCCGCCATCGCTTTCCTGGCCCAAATTCTTCAATCAATTTGCTACTCCACTCCAACCCAGTCTGATAACTTCCAGCTATCTCCGGTGTCGCTCGCCTCTGTCGCCAGCTTCCATCACTCATTCGCTCGTTCCACCACTCCCTGCAAGATGACAAGTCACTTGTGGGATGATTGGGGGATCTTGGGCGGTATAAGAGGTGTGTGGGCCTGCGGCCCAACTCTATGACTCTCTTATGAGCAATCTGGCATCATCTACGACTACAATATTCTCAATTTTATCTCGACCAGGTCTGGGCAGCATTCCTCCGGTATCAGAGTTTCTGGTTGGATCTCAACTCCCACGGCACCGGTCTCATCGTCTCAGAGACACGGTTCCAACCGGTAAGGGAATTGGAGTTTCATCATCAGGCATCAGGTTGTGGTTGATTCTCTACATCTACAACGGGCCTATCTTTTGTTTTCTTCTATTTTCCATTTTCTAAGATCTACGGCAGGATTATCTTTTCATCAAGATCGGCGGCTCATCTCAGGGTACCATTGGAACTCACCCAGCTGGAAGCAGTCCCTCGGCTGTACGTCCTCCGCTGCTTCCGGGAGCTGCAAGAGCATAAGTAACTGGCGCAGGACCGGCCGCAGCAGTCTGGGTCAACTCTCGCTGCGCACTCTCAGGATTCCTTCCGCCAGCCGCCGCGCCCATCGCATAAGCAAACCTGCATGTCACATCGCGACAATTAGCCAGCCGCTCGGAGAAGGGTCTTTCATCTCGCCTTTTCGGCGAAACGGCCCCACCCACCCTCGATTTTCCCACGCTGTGTGGGCCTGCGGCCCAACTCTATGACTCTCTTTTGAGCAATCTGGCATCATCTACGACTACAGCATTCTCAATTTTATCTCGACTGGGCCCGGGCATCGTGGCTTTATTTCTCGCCGCGGCCGGCCGATGTATGGGCGGCCCTATTTTTTCGCCGCTCCGCTCCAGTATGTTTCCTAGCCATTTTTTCGAAGTTGCGGCATGCATGCTGCCACGAGTCTTGGGAAGTAGTGGGCCCGTTTCACTGGATATCCATCCAGGCAAAATTGGCCTCACACACATGCGACCCTTTTTTTTTTTTTTTTTTTTGGACCATTTCTCTATTTATGCGCATGGATGGCTATCCAGCAAAACGGGGCCCCGGTACACCCCTGCTCTTAAAAAATGATTGGGAATGCGACCTGTTTTGCTTGGATGGATACTCTGAAAAAATGATAAGGAATGCTACCTGTTTTGCCTGAATGAATATCCACGTGTTTCCCGCAGCATGCACGCTGCCACTCCCGAAAAAATGGCCAGGGGCCTTGACCCACTAGCCAAGTATATTACGTCGTTGTGGGCTTTTTTTTTCTTTTCAAAAGGGCCATGGCCTTGATGTATTCGATTATGTGTGGCCCGTGGTGACATTTCATCGTCGTTGATGTGAATAACCAATACCCACTGGTTATGAAATGAATGTTATATAATATAAAGGCATCGCTACACCACTCTCGAAATGTGCGAAATGAGAATGAGCTTTCCGCTAGAAAATGGCCAGATGCACCCGCCACATTTTTGTCTTTTTCACGTTTCGAGAGTGGCGTGGCGAGGAGGCCTAAGTTGTCAAACGGAACTTGGACCGGTTTCCCGCCGGCACAGCTCCCTGCTGGCGCCAAGAAAGAACCGGCCTAAATTGAAACTTTTTTCTTTTTGTTTTCTGAAAAAAAGAAAAAAAAAAAAGAAGAAAAAAGAAAACCAATACCGCATCTGCCCATTCTTAGGTCCCTTGGCTGTTGCCAGCTTGCATCTGGGAGGTGACCCACTCTGGAACAAAGTCCCAATTGCGCAAATTAGGAGATTTCGGCCGTTGATCTTTGCTATCTACGGTCAGTATCTCTTAGTTCGTGCAAGTGGGACCTAGCCCCTGGTACGCCCAGATCTTCAGGGGCCAAGTCCCACTAGCAGCGTTGAGCTACCTCAACGCCTGAATCTGGACGTATTTGTGGAGACGTGCAGTTCAGGAAACTCAAAACCATTTCTGCACATCTCCGGAAAAGCGTCCAGATTCAGGCGTTGAGGTAGCTCAACGCTGCTAGTGGGACTTGGCCCCAGGTTCAATGGGAACGCATGTTCTTGCGAGACAATGATGGCCACAAGGCAGTGCAACCGGGAAACTGCCCGCTGCCCGGCGAGTGGCCGTGGATGGCCACCGGCTGCTTGTACGTGTTTAACTTTCTGCCACGTGGACCAATAACCTCTCTCTCTCTCTCTCTCTCTCTCTCTCTCTCTCTCTCTCTCCCCACGGCCCCGCCTCATTCTTGTGGTGGCCCCAGTGGATCAATGAGATTACTATCATATCACAAGATTTTCGATGGATCGGACACAAAGACTATAGGAGGGAGGGATATTTTTTTCTCGATTTATGCGTGTCATCCTTGCGCAGGGGCCATGCTAATCTTCTTTCTCTCTGTATCGTTCCAATTTTAACGGATGTCCGGAAGGACGGAGGGAATTTTTTTGCCGATGGTGGCGCCAAACTAGATCAGATCATGATGGAGGTAAAGAAAAAATTTGGGGGGATGGCGAGTGGAGAAGCTATCTCTCATCAAAACGTTGAGCCGAGGCCCAAGAGTCACCTCGATTTCACGTTTTCGTCGTTGATCTACGTCATCTACGGTCCAGAACCAAGAATCTACGCTGCACCACTCAGCAAATGTGCAAAAAACAAATGAGAATGCATCTTGCTCTAGGACAAGGAAAGATACAATTTTTGTCTTTCGGCGAGGGCCTTCGTCAGCCTTATTAATTACAAAAAAATAGGGTAAGTAGGGTAGAGTAATTTGAAAGATGATGGAAGATTTGAGAGAGAAGAATATAGCGTAGTTTAAGAAAAAAAAAAAAAAAAAAAAGATAGAGCAGTTAATATAGTAAGGAATTAATATAGGCTGTGTTTAAATCAAAGTGAAATTTACCAAGTGGATGGAACCATAAGCGAAACTGGCTTAGGCTTGAATTGTGGGTCCCCGGCCCGACATCAATTTTTTTTTCGCAATGAATTGTTGAACTTTCAAAAAAAAAAAAAAAAAAAAAAAAAAAAAAAAAAAAAAAANAAAAAAAAAAAAAAGAAGATTATTATTATTAAAAAAAAAAAAAAGAAGCGTTTGCCCGCCGACCGACGCGAAAGGATGACACGTATAAACCGAGAAAATGGTCCAAACTTGTCAATCGCTGATATGCACAAACCGGCGGGGGTTTGTTGTCGCGCGCGCGCCGATCATTTTTTTCGCACGTGCCGCTCATTTGGCTTGCACTTTCAGGGAGTGTTGTAAAGCTCCCGCGCGCGCCCCCGCTTGTAGCGCTGTACAAGCCGCGCCGCGCGGAGACGAGATGTCGGCGATATCCTGTGCAGCGGACATTCTTCCCGCCTCGAGGAGTTGTTGCTCTTCGATAATTGCGTGGAAGGCACTGATTAGACACCCTTGCCGCGCGGATCTCGCTGGCGTTTTGTCAGTTTCGCAAACGACAAACGTGTCGATCGGAGGACCGATCAGGGCCCAGCCCTTGTCCCGCGTCGATGCTGTAGCCGCCGCCGCCGCTGCCGCGGCCGCTGCTGCTGCTGCGCCTGCTTCTTCTTCGCGTATTAGTACCGGGGGTAACTCGAAAAGCGGGAGCGGGAGGAGGGGATCGGTGATACTCTCGGGATTGGGAACCTCAGCGACGAGGTCAACGTGGTCGACGTGTCTGTCGTCCTGCTCATCTTCGCTCGTTGGATTTTCGTTGTCGTCATCGTCGTCGTTGTCGTCGCGGGGGCTGGGAAGGTATAACCAAACTTGCGCCGGTGAGGGTCGCAGGATAAGCTTTTTATTTTATGTTTAGATAAGGAAATTTGTGTTTCCGTTCGTTTGTTTTGTATCCACCATTATCATTTTGGTCTGATAGCGGTCGGTTGGTTGGTGTGTGTGCGTGTGTGTGTGTGTGTGTGTGTGTGTGTGTGTGTGTGTTTTGGGTGGTTGTGTTTCGCAGGCGCTTCAGGCGATTGCACGTGAGGGGAGCCGCGGCGGGCAGTCCGCAAAGCGATATGGCGACGGCTACCGTTGACGGCAACACTTTAGATGTGGCCATCAAGGCGGCGACTGGACGTCCCGATCTGGTCGGCGATTGTAAGTGGTTATCATATCATCATCAAGACTCTCTCTCTCTCTCTCTCTCTCTCTCTCTCTCTCTCTCTCTCTCTCTCTCTCTCTCTCTCTCTCATCCCCCTTCTCTGCACAGCCGTTGATAAAAGAAGACTACGGCCACACCTTGTTTTTTTAGCATGGCTTTTTTTTCTTTTCCTTTCTTTTTTAATGTGGGAGTGCGCTCTAACGTTCTCCGCTTTTTATACTTCTTACCTCATTCCTCCCCTTGACTCCTTTCATGTCTTCAACTGCTATCCTCCTTTTTCTTTTTGCGCCTTTAAACGTCCTCATATGCCCTCCTACCCCGCTCCTCTCTCTCTCTCTCTCTCTCTCTCTCTCTCTCTCTTTTTCTCCTAGCTTCCTCTGCCACAAGCTTGGTTTTTCAGTATGGCTTTTTTCTTTCTTTCTTTTATGTGGAAGTGCGATCGAACGATCTCCCCTCTTTACCCTCTTACCTCATTTCTCCCGTCAGCTCCTTTCATGTGTTGAACTGTCATTTAAACGTCCTCATGTTCACTCTCTCTCTCTCTCTCTCTCTCTCTCTCTCTCTCTCTCTCCACACACACACACACACACACACACACACACACACAGAGCTTCCGTTGTTCACGGCAATCCTTGCAGCGTTGGTTTTTCCAAGGCCGCGCAACGGATCCGCGAGATCGCGAGTGTTTGATTATAAGAAGCAGCCCTACAGCTTTTTTTTTTAATTTTTTTTTCGTTCGATGGTAATCAGTGATTGAGTGAACAATGCCATTTCCCCCCCTCTCGTCTACGTTCTCGGTTCTCCTCCCGCCTCTTCTCTGCTATTTTTTTTGGTCACGGCTCTGGCCAGCCGAAAGAAGTCTTGTATCTTCTCGCATCTCCTGTGCTTGTGCGCGCGCGCCCGTTTGTGTGTGTGTGTGTGTGTGTTCTCTGTGTGCGTGTGCGTGTGCGTGTTCTGTGTGTGTGTGTGTGTGTGTGTTCTCTGTGTGCGTGTGTGTGTTCTGTGTGTGTGTGTGTGTGTGTGTGTGTGTGTGTGTGTGTGTGTGTGTGTGTGTGTCGCTGTGCGTGTGTGGGTGTGGGTGCGTGTGTGTGTGTGATGTGTGTGTGTTTACTTGGCTTGTCTGATCTCCTATCGGTCGTTTCTCTGAGATCACTCTTCCTCTGTGGTCGCACTTACACGTTCTCCTTCCCCCCTCTTTTCCTCCCATTTGCTGACACGATCTCCCCTTCCTCCTCCCCCTCTTCCTCCTCTCTTCTTGTTCCTGCTAATTGTTTGTCCTCAGTGGTATGTTTGTTCCGTATAACTTTAAAGCATGAGCCTCGTTGCACAAGGTAGTTAGCCGGTAGATGCGGAAAATGGTAAGTGTATCGTACGCTAGAAAGTGGAAAGATACATGCAGACTTCAGCCTTGTTTTTTGTCGTTTCGAGGTTTAGCCAGCCGAGGAACGAGGTTTCCTGTCGCTCGCTTCTCCCCTCTGCTCCTTTGCTCTTCGCTATCTCTTGGCGTCGGATTGCTTCGGTGGATGCGGGAGTGCGGTTGCCCCTTGATAAGTCCTGGTGCGCAGCCAGGCGAAACGCGTCGGGGAATGTTCGCGTTGAGCAGACAGTCCGTGTAGGTGCGTCATTGACATCATCGAGACATGGACGCATAGCGATTGGCCTCGCTGTTTCAGTTTTTTTCAGATCTTCTTTTTTTTTTTTTTTTTTTTTTTTTTTTTTTTTTTTTTTTTTCCCTTTTTTTTTTTTTTTTTTTTTTTTTTTTTAATTTGGACCATTTCTCGATCTATGCGTGTCATCCTTGCGCAGGGGCCATGATAATCTTCTCTGTATCGTTCCAATTTTAACGGATGTCCCGAAGGACCTTCTTCTTCCTGTTTTCCCCCAACTGCTGTTCCGTTTGGTCGATCTGCACCGGTCGTTAGTCTTCTGGTTGTAATCGACCGGTCTTCGGCTGTAGGCGACTGGTCGCCACGACCATTGTCCGTCTGCTCAGGACTGATACACATGTTTAGCGGACTCGTCCCGCCCGATCTCGATCCTTTAGTTCTTTTTTTTTTTTTATAAATAATTAATTTGGAACATTTCTCGATTTATTCTTGTCATCCTTGCGCGCAGGGGCCATTTGCCCCTTCTCTGCATCGTTCCAATTTTAACGGATGTCCCGAACGACGATCGTTAAGCGCGTGAGCTGCCTCTTCCGGAATAAAGGAAAATTTTCCTGAACTCCATGGACGTAATTGCGGTTAGGTTCGTGCAGGTCTGGCCGTAATTGCGATCGCGACCGCAATTAAATGGGCGATCGCGTTTCGAAACACAGACCGCGATCTCGTGAGTATATGCCCTAATAAGACGAATTCGTCCTATCCCGACCGCGATCGCGTTTAGAAAAATGGGCCGAATTCCATGGAGATTGGAGGGAGAAAAAGCCCATCAATACCTTTCTTTTTTTTCTTTTTTTTTTCTTTTTTTTTTTCTTTTTTTTTTCCCATCAAGACCTTTCTCGGCCATTTGTTTGGCTAAGATCAAGTGCATTATCTGTTCTGATCCGTGGTCCATTGGGCCACATTAAAAAAAAAAAAAAAAAGGCCCATCAACCAACAAAATGGCCTAGCACAGAGTTGGTACACCCATGAACTGCTGAAACACAGACCTTAAGATATCATTGTCGACCTGACCGACCCCAGATATCATTGTAATCGAGCACAGTTCAGTTGGTTCCATCTGGGTTCGAACCCACCCAGATGGGACCAGACCCATAAGATCAACTAATTTTATGGGTCTGGTTCCATCTGATTTCGAACCCAGATGGAACCGGAACCAGACCCATAAGATCAACTAATTTTATGGATCTTAATATGGGTCTGGTTCCATCTGGGTTCGAACCCAGATGGAACCGGAACCAGACCCATAAGAACAACTAATTTTATGGGTCTGGTTCCATCTGGGTTCGAACCCAGATGGAACCAGACCCCCAGATGGAACCAGACCCATAAAGTCAACTACAGTAATTGTGAATAACCTGGGGTCGGCCAGGTCGACAATGATGTATCTCAAAAAAAAAAAAAAAAAAAAAAAAAAAAGAAGAAAAACAACGGACCAAATTTTCTGACAGACTGAACCGGGATGGCTAGACGGCCACTCGTGATCTGTACCGGGACGTCAAAGCGACCACGTGAACCCTGAAGAGGCTCTGCAGTGGGATTATAAAACGACGTCAGGGCGTCAAAGCGTCCACATGCACCCTGAAGAGGCTCTGAAGAGGATCTGTATCCGGACGTCAATGCGTCCACATGCACCCGGAAGAGGCTCTGCAGTGGGATTATAAAACGACGTCAAAGCGTCTACATGAATTCTGCAGCGGAATTCCGACGTCAAAAGCGTCCAGATGCATTCCGAGCAGTCTATCAGATTCATGCAGGTGAGGTCGGCTTTCAGCAGAAGAGGTAAATCGTGGGGGACAAACAAAATAATAAAATAAAAAATCATGGGGGACGAGGATGTGTGCACCGGACGGTAGACGTCCAGGTACACTCTCTGACAGGGGTGTGTGCGTGTATATCTGCATACATGCCCATCCTAAGGGCCTCGTTCCACTACTCGCCATCCGCCACACATGGCGGACGCGACTTGGTTCCACTGCATCGCCAATAGCCAGGAAATGGAGGCTGTCAGAATTTGGGTGTGAAATCACTTGGCGATGTGCCGCCAAGGCTTTCCATTTCCCCTGCCTGCAACGGCCCTTCGTGGAGGCTCCACTCCTCACCCCTCTGCAAAATGCTTCGTGTGGCCATTGCCCCTGACACAGCCATCCTGACAATCGACCTGCGTTGTCCCCTAGTGTTGGCAAGTTTTAGATGCACCTGGAGTGATTTCCAGTCCGAGTACATGGTGAAGAGAAGGCGGCCACCATTCCATTAGCTCGCCATCCGCCACAGTCCGGGGAGCAGGCCGGGACAGCAACCACAGCGCATGTGGCGGTGGCGATGTAGTGGAACCAATACCCTTTTTCCGCCAGAAAAGTGCAGTTTTCGGACTCGCCAAGTCTCACCACTGTTTGTGGAGGATGGCGAGTAGTGGAACGAGGCCCTAACCCTTTTGGGATGTACGGAGAGAGTGTGTGGGTGTGTTGTGTGTGGTGTGGTGTCAAGCCTGAGGGCCTCGTTCCACTACTCGCCATCCGCCACAAACAGTGGCCAGGCTTGGCGAGGCCGAAAAGTGCATTCTTCTGGCGGAAAATGGCTCTTGGTTCCATTACATAGCCGCCACCACGTGCGCTGTGGTTGCTGTCCCCGCCTGCTCCTCGGACTGTGACGGATGGCTGGCTAATGGAACGGTGGCGGCCTTCTCTTCACCATGTACTCAGACTGGAAATCCCTCCAGGTGCGAGGGAAACTTGCCAACACTAGGGGACAACGCAGGTCGACTGTCAGGACCACTGTGTCAGGGGCAATGGCCACACGAAGCATTTCGCGGAGGGGTGAGGAGTAGCGCCCTCCACGAAGGGCCGTTGCAGGCAGGGGAAATGGAAAGCCTTGGCGACACATTGCCAAGTGATTTCAGACCCAAATTCTGACAGCGTCCATTTCATGGCTGTTAGCGATGCAGTGGAACGAAGTCGCATCCGCCATGCGTGGCCGATGGCAAGTAGTGGAACGAGGCCCTGAGAGTGGGATAAGGGGACATTTTTACGATGCTGTGTAGTGAGATAGATGGCGGCATCTAAAATGTGTCCCGATCTCAACCCTCCCTGCATATGTTGGGCCTCGCCCCACCACACACCAAAAGATGAAACGAATCCGGAAAAAAACTTGTAACACCTGGCGAGCTGGCTGCCATCAGCTGCCGTGATATAGGTCCCCCCAAAGACCATCTCCAACCTGCACAACCTTTTAAATAAAAAAAAATCCCGTTTAAGCTCCGGCTCTTCAGTGTTTCAGACAGTGAGAGATGAGGGGACCACTCAGCTCTTAGGGTCTATGGTAGTAGATTTGGTTGG